TTGACTGAGTTAATTAATTAATGTGGTTTTCATAATCCCTCAGGTTACAATAAAATAGATGCTAATGAACTAATTAATGACAACAGAACCTCCTCTAACAACAACAATAAAAAAACTGTTTTGTTTCGAACTGATTTTACTGTATTGTTTGACTGTGCCCTTTCATCACTCAGACTTAAATGTGGAAGCATTCCAATACACGTATTGTAAGTCACCAGTAAAAGATGTTATCTTGTCACAGAAGCTTTCCAAGTGCTCTTGGAATGATCAGGTGATGAGGAAATATGTGTGTTGTGGACTCATCGATGGGATCAAGTGGTCCGCATGTGAGCTGTCATACAAAAAGATATATTATCTTAAAACAACACATGAGCCATATGGCCACAGCCGAGGACATAGAATTCCCATAACTGGAGGTTCCTAAATCCCTCACCTTAAAACTTCACAGCACTTCCGAATCCCTGTAGCATTCCAAACCCCTGCCATTGTGAGAACATGATTCCACATTCTTATGTTTGATTTGCTGATGTTCTACTGCCCCTATAAGCCTCTGCAGTATGGCCTGGGGCCCCCAACCAGTCTGTTTTTCAGCTCTGGGGTTAAATCAGAATTATAAATAGCCATTTGTATTTGAATTTATTTATTTTCACTTGTTAACACTTATAATGCTATTAAATAACTATAACATACGTATATAGATTTGTCAAATAATATTTAATCAATACATTATTTTTTTCATTATTATTATTTCATACATGTTTCTAAACAGGTTTGTATTGTATGCATGTATGCATGTGAGTGGGCAGGAAAGAGTGGGTTGTCTGTGTATATCATAACTCTGAGTATGGCCATTTATTTTGGTGCGGTGCCTGTTTGGATCCACAAAAATAAAAATCATCACTATATCAATAATAACTAAGGCAGCTGTTGCGTGTGCTGCACACATGCAATCATTTGCCAGAGAAGCCATTTGCCAAGGTTAGTGGGTTAGAGCTCTGAATACTTACAAGCCTTCAATGATACTGCACATATACACTTGGTAACACCCTGTAAATAACCCTTATTAGAGACACCCACAAAGCCAATGGCTAAATTTAACTACACATCAGACCTGTCAATACAAACACACATACACAGTCACAAAGTATTTATTAATTATTAATATTATTACTATTTTTTTTTTGTTTTATTTTTTAATCATGGACAGCTGTTCCATAAAAGAGTTTAACACCACCATTGGATTTATACTGCTATTAATAGGCATAAGTGTCATATTGTGGGGGCTGCTGTCTCAGATAATCTGAGAGGACTCCACTATATCCATGACTTAACAGCCTACAGCACGGCTACTGCTGCACCCTGTCCAAATGTCCCACACCCTACAGAGAGCTAAAACTGATCTTTGGCTGACTCGTGATTTCCCTCTCTGCTCTTCAATCCAGGCTCACCAGAGTAACCCAACTATGTATTTTAATTAACTTTTTCTAATACATGTAATATTCAAAAATATCTTAGTGGCATTAAAAGACATTTTAAAAGTTTAAATATTCTAAAAGATTCTTGTCTATCTATCAGACTTCGATTATGAAAAACTAAGTAAACTTATATAATTCATACACTACATGGTTGAGTACACAGTGCATAGTGTATAGTGCATCATTTGGGATGCAGCTTATGTAACTTTTTAAAAACTGCATATTACTTACGGAGGAATAAATAAATAAATGATAAATAAATAAATAACAAAAGAAAGAAAAAGATGGATTTGGAAGAATATGCCTTAAAGCTACTATCACAGACAAATGATGGAAGTATGCAATTTCCTGGGAGATCCATCCAGAGAACTCTAAAATTTAAATAATTTTACATAAAAAAAACAATAAAACAGTGTATATGTTATTCACTGAAAGCTATAAATTATAAACTTATATAGTGATGAATGGTAGACTACATCAAATATATATTTTTTGCCTTCCAATTTGCTCAAATATCAAAAGAGAAAACTCGACAATAGTGTTTACACAAATTTCAAAAAGAGGAAAATAGAGAGAGAGAGAGAGAGAGAGATTGGTAATGACAGCCAGAAGACAGAATGATGTCAAATTGACAATCACTCACACAGATGCTGTATTAGAAACAACTATAGCAGCATTAACTAGTTTTTCATAATACAAAGGTAATATAATACAAAATAAAGTGTTATAAATATACATACATTTTAAAACTGAAAATATTAAATATAAATGTACATATATATCTTAGCAGTACTTACAATGCTGATGAAATTTGAAAAGCATTATCACAGTCTGAAAAGGGTCCATTATAGGGTTACTTTTGGGGAATGTTCATAAAAAAACATGCATTATGTTTTGTTTATTTTTTTTATTTTTTTTGGCTGTAGCTACTCACAATTTTGTTGAAACAAACAAACAGTCTAAATATAATGTATTATGGTTTTACAATAATATCGATAGCTGTCAAATCAGAACATCTTGAGTTGACTTTTTAAGATTGAGGTTGGTAAAAAGGTGTAAACCCCACATGTGGCAATCCAGGCTTCTGCCCTTGAGCAAGACACTTCAGAATGCACTGAAAGCTCCTCTCATTAGTCACTCTTTCTTCATCTTGAGTCATGACCTTTGGCAACTCTCAGATATAGGCCTAGACAGTGGCCTAAGTGTCTCCTTTTAAGGGAAACACCATTGCGAATAATCTTGTGATTGATTTTGATTTATGACTGATGGACTGGGTGAGCTCCTCACTCTTTAGAGTAAACTTTAGATGTATCACTAACTGATCGTATGAGCGATTGCACTTGTATGCAATTCTGCACCTGTTCAGCTTGTGGTTGAAGGGCATGAGCGCCTTGCAGAAGCATGCACCTGCAAAACACGGCCATTGATGGATGACATCAGCTCAAATTTATCTGTGCATATTGCTCTCTGTCCATAAGAGGTGAGAACGTGTCTCAAACTTGTCACTCTGTCATTACCACGAGGCTATTTAAAGCCTATGTTACTGACTCTCATCAGACAGTATTGTCATGTGCAAGGAAGTTCACAGACATCATTTCATACCTGTCATGCTCACGCCAGACTTGCGCAACTTGACAGGCTGGCGTGTTATTTCTGAACATTTGTTACAATGGAAGCTTGAATTAAATCAATCATTAAATATAGTGAGTGTTAACAGCTCTTAAATGCCTCATGCAAAAGGGCGCATGGTGACATGAACACTAAAAATGTACAATGAAGTACAAGAATAAATAAATGTCCTTGAATATAAATGTAATTCTCATAAACAAATATACCAATAAATAGTATACAGCACTGTAGACTATTATAAGCATACTGTACTGTTCTATACAAGCCTATATAGGGAATTAGGGCTAGTTGCCACATGTTGCATAGTTGTTTGTTATGTTTTCATAAATTCTTTTGACCAAAAAGATATGGTACCCATGGAAGCCTGTTTCCATAAAAAATTAAGAAGAAATTGTGACTTTTTATTTCACAATTCAGACTTTTTTTCTTATCAAAATTGTGAAATATAAACTCAGAATAGCGCAATTCTGAGAAGAAAAGTCAGAATTGTGAGACACAAACTCTCAGTTCCAAGAAAAACAACAACAACAACAGACAAACAGGCTTCCATTTATATTTTTTGTGTTTTAATTTCTATTTTTGCATTTTTTAATGATTTAATTTGTATTTTGTAATTGTTTTATTATCAATGTTTACCTGAATTTTTTTTTATTAAAAAAACGATACTAGGACTAACTATAGTAAGGGCGCATGGTGACATGAACACTAAAAATGTACAATGAAGTACAAAAATAAATAAATGTCCTTGAATATAAATGTAATTCTCATAAACAAATATACCAATACATAGTATACAGCACTGTAGACTATTATAAGCATACTGTACTGTTCTATACAAGCCTATATAGGGAATTAGGGCTAGTTGCCACATGTTGCATAGTTGTTTGTTATGTTTTCATAAATTCTTTTGACCAAAAAGATATGGTACCCATGGAAGCCTGTTTCCATAAAAAATTAAGAAGAAATTGTGACTTTTTATTTCACAATTCAGACTTTTTTTCTTATCAAAATTGTGAAATATAAACTAAATAGCGCAATTCTGAGAAGAAAAGTCAGAATTGTGAGACACAAACTCTCAGTTCCAAGAAAAACAACAACAACAACAGACAAACAGGCTTCCATTTATATTTTTTGTGTTTTAATTTCTATTTTTGCATTTTTTAATGATTTAATTTGTATTTTGTAATTGTTTTATTATCAATGTTTACCTGAATTTTTTTTTATTAAAAAAACGATACTAGGACTAACTATAGTAGGACTGAGTAGGCCTAATGGAAGCTTTACCATTTTGTGACAACCATTTGTGACAACTAGAGTGTGGCACTTTACAATGGCAATAATGGTGGACATGTTATGAAGCTTTTTTTTGTAAGCAGGACTTTAGTACATGTATATGTGCCTAAACACAACCTGAATTTAAAAAAAAAAAAAGACTTACCCTAAGAAAATTTTACTGGAGTAGGCCTATAAAAAGTCTGACAAGTAGTCTCCCTTACTATAATTGACAAAAAGGCAACGTCACACTTCTTTATTGCTTTTCTCACGCGCTGAATAGACTATGCAGTCATGCAGTCGTGCACCTGTTGCCCACCCGCGTGTCAGTGGTCGCAGGTCAGGCCTGGGAGTCTGGAGCTACTGGCGAGTCGCGATGTCCATTCCAGAACGGAAGCCGCGCGTTCCTGCCTCGTGCAGTCATCGCTTGCTTGGGATTCAGTAGATGATCGGAAAGGATGAATGAAGGTGTCTCGCGCCATTGGAATTTTGTGGGCGGTGAAAGAGTGGAAGAGAAAGTAAGGAACATGATCTAACTTTTTTATGGACCGCGCCAGACTCTAGAACCGTGTATAGCCTATATATAAGGGAGGTGTGGAGAGATGATGCACAGATCACCAGGGAGCTCAGCAGGCAACACCGATCGCTTTGGGACTCTAATTAACCACAGAGACAACTACATATCACCACTGACAGCCTTACAGCAAAACGCGCAACCGACGAGAGCTGAAGACACAAACTTCCAGATCACAGACATCATGGGGCTGCTGCGTGTTGAAGAGCTGGTAAGTTTTGTGCTGATGCATGCAGTGCTTTCTGGGAGTCTCATCTGAATGTTGACATGTTATCAGCTAACTTCAAGATTTATATTGTTAGAATTTTGTGCAAGATAAACGTGCAAAAATCCCATGCAAATGCGTGTGTTTACTTAGAAAAGCACAAATTTAACAAAGCTGTTTATGCTGAAATGTTGTAAGACAAAACGAAACTTATTAGCTATAAAGATATATGATAAAGAAAATTGGGTTGCACTTTATTTTAAGGTGCCCTTGTTACAGTGTAATTATACATTTAAGTACTGAGTTACATTAACTTCACGTACTTACTATATGGTTAGGGTTTGGTTTAGGGTTACTTGCATAATGCATAATTTGTTTTTATTGTAATAGTAAGTACATGTAACTTGTGTAACAAGGACACCGTAAAATAAAGTGTTATCGAAAATTGTTAACTAAAATTATAGGATACAGTTGAAATACAGCAATGCTAATTTAAAAAAAATGTATGAAATGCTAAAATGACTAAAACTGAAATAAATTAAACAAATATAAAGGTAAAAGAAAATAACAAAACTAAAACTTAACTTAAAATTTAAATAATAAATAAAAAATATACAATTAAAAGCGAATAAAAAATATTAATATGCTGTAATAGTATAACAGTAATACTAAAATAACACTGCTTATTGTTACAGAATAATAAATCTGTAGCATTTACAATGAAAAGAATTGAAAAACCTAAAAGAAAATAACAAAACTAAAACTTAACTTAAAATTTAAATAATAAATAAAAATATACAATTAAAAGCGAATAAAAAATATTAATATGCTGTAATAGTATAACAGTAATACTAAAATAACACTGCTTATTGTTACAGAATAATAAATCTGTAGCATTTACAATGAAAAGAATTGAAAAACATAAGAAAAAGAAAGGCAGTACATAACAAAGAGAGAAGTTACAATAAGGAACGACCACAAGAGAAAATGCATAAAATAATTTTTTTTTGTGTTTACATATTATTATAAGAAAAGGAAAGAAATAAAGAATAGGCTATAACAAACAGAAAGTAAGTACACAAAAGAAAAAATGCATAAAAGAGAAAAAAGTATGAGTGCGAGAGGGGGATGGAGCAGTGTGATGTTATTAAATATCTGTCAGCGATTAAGATCCAGGGTGTCTAGAATGACCCAACTGCACAGGCCTGTCCTCCTATTTTAAACAACTGAAATGACACAAATGTTTGTAATTATTTTTTTAGGTTCTCAAAACAGCTGAACACTCTCTCCACCCCACCCACACAAGCACTAAATTAAACTACATCTGCTTTAAACTGTACACTTGTTCTTTCCATGGAAGCTGTTCAGTCCTTGAAAATGAGTGTGTACATACTGTGGTCACACTAGACCACAGTTGCTTAAGCTCCATTGACTTTAATTCATACATATATGAAATCCAAGAATGATGAGTGTCATGTCCAATCACAGGTCACTGGGAAGAGAGGCGAGGGAAAGGTGTCAGGAGGTGCCTGTGCAGAGGTGTTTGGTGCAGGAGAATATGAAACCAGCATCATCCAGGAGAAACAGGATGGACTTCAGACACAACAGGACCTGAATGACACCACCCAGAATGACATCAAACCATGTGAAGAGAACCTCAAACTCAATGTAATAATGAATACAACTTGATAAAAGTGAACATGGCTACAAATTAGTAACATAGTCATTTTTTTAGGTTGACCAATCAGGACAGCTAAAACTAGAAACTGTAGAAGACCTCTTCAATATTTTGCAGCTGAGGAAGAGGAGAAAGGAAAGGAAGATTCAAATGTCAAAGAAACAGCCAGAGCCTGATATCCTGGTGAGGAACTCCTTCCATAATTCGCATTACAAATATGGCTATATCATTTTAATACGAATATATCATAAAGATTTGAGATTTAATTATAACCTAACATTATTTCAGCCTGAAACAGTGGACCAGGCTTTGTTCCTAAAGGCTGTCACAGAGAATAAAATGCCTGTTGTTGAGAAATATTTAGCAGATGGTGGAGACCCCAATGCCTGCGATCACGTGAGTGTATAACACAAGAACACACACATCTCACACTTTCCTTCACTTGTGCTGTTCAGTCCTGCAGAATTAAAGGGATAGTTCACCCAGAAATGAAAAAAAGACATAAAAGACAAAAACTTTTTGGTTACCAACATTCTTCAAAATATCATCTTCTATGTTCCACAGAAGGTTTGGAACAACATTTTGGTGCTTAAATGATGGCCACATTTTCATTTTTGGGTGAACTATTCCTTTAAACTCTCACCAGTGATATTTTAGTAATATTCAATTCAATTCAGTTCAAGTTTATTTGTATAGCGCTTTTCACGATACAAATCGTTGCAAAGCAGCTTTACAGAAAATTAAGTTTCTACAATATATTTAGTAGCAGCTTATCAATGGTGACTATGTCAGTTAATGTACATATGTACGGGATGTCAGTCCTGTGGCAGAAACAGAGAAACAAATAGAGACATAATTAGCGTAGCTGCTGTTCCAACCAAGCAAAATTGATTTGTTTAACCCAAGCTAAAGAATAATAATGTGCATTTGATCAGATATAACTGCAGTACAAGTTTATGACATGCATTATTTGAATGCTTGGCCAAAGAGATGTCTTTAATCTAGATTTAAACAGAGAGAGTATGTCTGAACCCCGAACATTATCAGGAAGGCTATTCCAAAGTTTGGGAGCCAAAT